TCTGATAATTGTGTCATGCTAGATTGGCATGACAATACAATTTGACAAAAAATAGCTTAACCAGCTAACTAAAAACAAACTTCAATGGAATCCACATCCACTGTAACCAAACAAGTGCCTTATCTTTGCAAAACATGTGAAAATGACCTTAGTCTAACAGTTTGACCTGAAGTAGCAAAAGGTCAGCACCTCTTACTGTACATCATCCTTCATCACATCCATTCATCTTAGTGGTGAAATATTGGTGAAAAGTTCATACACTTTTCACCAATAATTTTCAATGACTTTTCCATGACCTTTACCTCCTTTTCCATGACCCAAAAAAATGACTCTTTCTTTCATGTGGCTAGCAAGCGCTGCCTCGCCCATATTCGAAATATCGAATATTTTACAACAAAGTTTGCATTTAGCACGTCTTGGGTCAATGTCTTTTGATAACCACAATTGCTACTCATCCTTTAGAAGCCATACATTGTTGAAACTGCACTTCTCTGGCATCTTGGCAGCCTTATATCAAATAGTAGCTCCTACAGGCTAAAGCCACTCTAGACTAGAGGGCGTGATTGTAATCTCTCACCAGCTAAATACTGCGACAGTTGCCATTTGACGTTTCATTACTATATGATACAGTATTTATTATCATTATAGTATTACTATTTTGGCGATTAGATAAAATATAAATTATATTTGATGCAACTTTAGTTATATGTCCATGACTTTTCCAGGTTTTCAATGATCGTACGAACCCTGTAGTGTACTGGCCATCATTTCTAACATGAAACACCAAGTCATCCTAATTGTCTTATTTCAGACAGTTACATACATTTCAATGCTAATTTAATAGAGTTTAAGTCTGTAACATTCAGCAGCAGCATGGCATTGAGTAACTTGCAGTCAGCACAATTGAGAGTGGAAACAGAAATTGTGAATTTTGATTGACACATTGGTAAAGCAAATGGAATAGCTGGCCGTTTCAATCACTTATAACTTGTCTCGATGAAGTCATGTTAAATACTTTGTGTTTCAGAGCAAATACAAACTTGAAATTCTATCTTCATCATTCCTGTTTGAGTGAATGAAGACACGCTCACTTGAAAATACAATGTATAAACTTGAAAGTTTGCGTTCTTGTGTCTTTCTGTGTTAAATTCAGGTGCTTGTGTGCATGGATTTGCATTGCCTGACTCGTGGCTTTTTGCCAGATGTCCCAGAATACACCCGACTAACAAGTAGCCTTCAAGCAGTGGAGATGCCAGGAGAGGATTTTGTTCCCTCATGCTTGTGCGCTCGGCTGGACAGATAATTTTGGGATTGTGGCCAGAGATTTTTGAGGGAATATGAGAGGGCAACCTCCTGCAATCAGGCAGTGTCGGTGACCACTCGAGTGCATCGCGACGGCGAGCTGCCACTCAAGATGCCGCCAGATCATTCCTTAGAAGTAGACTCCTGATGAGCTGTTGATGTGTGTGTGTGTCTGTATGTGTGTGTTATAGACTCTGGGAAAGGACTGGACAAGCAAACAGCTGCTACAAATATTTGTCTTGATGTGCTTCAGACTGCAGAAGAGAAATTAGAAGAACATTACAACTTGCTGTGCATAAGTTACCAAAATGGTTTTAATTTAAGAGTCATATTGCCTCATTAAATGAAACCCAGTCATTTGTAAGCCATGCTCAAAAGGATTTTTTGTATTGACATGTTAGGAGTGTAACCATTTGCATTTAATATGTGATTCCCTGTTTGATCCATATCCAGTTTTCTGCATGTATAAGCATGAGTTGATATGGACCACATTGGTCAATTATAAAAAGTAGCAAGCCACTACTGCCCTCTATGTGATACAAATGTAACGACAGCCTCCTCAGTTGAACAAAATCAGTATACTAAACATGCTACAGTGTGGGTCTCTTACTGCAAATGAAACCATGCATTTCAAACTGAGACACATTTCATTCAACAGTGTTTCAGTTTGAGACTTCCTGCAGTGAACTCTCAATGTCCATCAGTAGCCCACTGCTAAAGCCTTGTATTGCATACAGACATACATTGAAGCTCCTCGACCCTGATGCTGTGCCCATACCCCCTGTTGCTCCTCTCTGTCTCCCCTAGCGGGTCCTCCCATTCATTTGGCTCATTTGAATTCCAACATGGGAGACCTCTGATGAGCCGGGTGAACTGTTACACTTCACGACGAGACTGCTAATTAATCACAGCGACTGTACACATCACTTATCACCTCTGCGGTGTTGACTTGTGCACATAAATCTGCCAGTGTTCCCCTAATGAGTTGGACGCACCTGTCTGAAGCTGTAATTACTCAAAGTCACGCTTGCAGAAATACATCAGGGGGTGTTTGGCTGTGCCGTCTTATTTTGGCTGATAAACATTTAATTACTTACAAACCGTACAGCCAATAAGCGGTATGTAGCTACAGTATGCAAACAAATTGCTAATGTATTATGATTGTGGTGGAGACACAGGGCAAATAACCTTTTTTATTATTATACCTGGCTTTCTTACTTTTACTACATATTTTGTATTTGTTCCTGAGTAAACTTTATAGTTTCTTATATGTACTCGGGTCTAATAAGATTACAAGGGGATTTGATTAAGAAAAGGTATGTTTGCTAAACATTTTAATTGCTCTACAATGAAAACCACACTTTAAGATTATTTCCAAATACATGCAAATAATTTTGTTTCAAATACAAATATTTGTATGACAAAAATATTTAAATGGTTTATTTATAGGAATGTGTATTTATCTTGGTAATATTTTCCATGTTCGCATTTATATTCTTCTTTTTGTGATAAATTCAGAATTTTTTTTTTTTTCAGATTATCACGTTAGTTTTATTGTGCAGCAAATTGATTATTTCGGTAATCTGATAAAAAAGGAGAGTCACAGGGTTTTGGGGAATACCTTCAAAACCAGGGTTTTCTACAGACTGCCGGAAAAACAGATGATAATATACGAGGGGCACAAACTGGGGTGTACTGCAATCCCAATGTGTGGAGTACCAGCTCTCATCTCATCTGTCCTTGTTTACCCTGGAGGTTTCCTGGACGTCATATGACTTCCTCTGATCACTTCCTCCACCTGCAGAGTTTCTCCATGGTGATTTAAGCCACTCTGGCACTTCTTCCGCCTCTGCCCTTGTTCCCAAACCGCAGGGGACCTCTCCCTCTCCGTTCTCCCTCACAACCCTTCTCCTTTCTCACTTTCAGATCCAATAGCACTCCTACTTTTCTCCTCTTATATTTGTTGTGTGCCCTCTGTTTCTCCTTTAAACACTTTTCTGCTTTGCTTCTTCTTCTTCTACCTCACAAAACATTGTTTTTTTGCTTTTCCTCTCCTCACACTCTCTCCTCCCTCCCTTCCTCCTCCACATCAGCTCCCTCCCATCTCCCTGCTCACCACAGGGGAGCCCAGAGTTTGGCCTTGCTCCCTGTCTCTGCGTGTGAACTGTGTGCGATGTTGAGATCCTGCCACTAAGGTTAGAGGAGGCATGCAGGAGATGAAGGCACTTCAAAGAATCTCTTACACACAGGTGCGAGGGGTATCCCACACCAGCAGATGCAATGACAGCATTAATCGGAGAGCTCAGCGGCTTGTGGTTGCAGCTCTCGTCAAACGTGAGGAGCCTTTGAAGGTCCCTTGGGCATCAGGCAATTTCTTTATGTTACAGATTTAACAGGCAACTGCTCACCCCCCTCTGGCTTGTGTTTACACCCCAATGTAACACACACATACACTACACAGGTGCACACAGTCACTTTCATAAAGTCACACAGATACACACAAATGCACCCACATACATACACACACATAAAACAAAATTGTTTCATGACAAACAACCACCAATGAGCTCCCATTAAGCTCATCAATTCAGAATGATGTGTTTGTGAAAGCCTGTATCAAACCTCAGGGATACACTGGCCACCACAATTACAGTAATGGCTCTCATTATTCTGTTTCACACAAAATAACTTAATTGCAGTTTGTTTACACATGTGGTGAAGTCTTCTTTTCATGTAATGCAGTCCATGTGCATGCATTGTCAGAAGATATAAAAAGTCCATGAGGGAAAAGCCTGTAGTCTCTCTTAGTTTATGACTCACTAAATAATTACAAGACGGCTTTGATTATAGTATCATACTCAGTGTCATCCAATTTCCCTAAAAGCAGAATAAACTGGACTTTCTCGGATTACATTATCATACTGTGTTGGCCGCATGAGTATAAAACTGAAATTATGCTCAGCTGGGATAAATCATATAAAAGTTGCTTGTCATCATCAGGAGGACAAAGTAAGACATATAATGATTTATTGTGCGTGTGTTGTGGAAGATGTCCGATGCGGCTGCATTAGTGATGGCCATATGCTTTGGGTCAATAGTGTTCAAAAATGTCATCAGTTTTTAATTGCATCAATACTGTATGTGTACCTTTACATAGTTTCCAGATCATGTAGTTGTAGCTGGGATGTGTTTCAGTGTGCCTGTTTTTTTTGGTTTTCTGTTATGTTACATTCATTGGTTCAACAGTGCATTCAACTAACAATAGCTAGATGCCACAAAATATAGTTCAATAGCAACACAAATGTTTTCAAACGTTTTTGAGCCATACTGGCAGCGCGACTCAATGGTTGTTCATGTTCAGTCAAACACTTTGGTCCAGGCTGAAATATCTCAACAACTATAGGATGGATTGTCATGAAATCTAATACAGACATTCATGACCTATTCAGGGTTAATCATAATGACTCTGATTCTTGTTCAAATACGTGCAAAACTAATAATGACATTCCCATCAGTCTCAGTCGGAATGGTTTAGTGTTGATTAGCAAATGTTAACATGCTAACAGGTTAAGCTAAAGGGATAAACATTAGACGTCATGCCTGCTAAATATCAACATGTTAGCATTGCTATACATGTAAGCATATAGCATAATAGCTTTGTTTTTGTGTTTGATTTTAGTGTTAAGTATAATAAACGTGCCTTGTGATTTCATCTAAATAAAATAATTTCCCTTGCTTGGTTAAAAAAAGACATTTATCTTCACACACTCCGTGCAGTTCACGACTCCACCCATCCAGCCTGACAGCTGGGCCCTCCGGTCCACATGGAACTGGTCACAATTATACAAACTTTGTAATTAGCAACAAACACACCATAAACATATCAATAACTGCTTGAGTGCAGAGCACAGAGAGGCATTAGAGCAAATGCTTTAATTTGTCTGCCAATTTGTTAATGGTGTTGGGTGTGATGAGTATTTGTTTGTTTTCAGCTTGAGGGTTTCAAAAAGGAAATCAAGTCTGAGTGTTCTGTTGTGTTGTTTAGTTCTTACCTGTTTGTATTCAGCCAGCCATATCACTCATAAATAAATAAATATATGGGGGTAAGAACAGACCAGGTACTGCCAATAAAAAGAGAGAGAGAATGATGAAGGAGCAACACAATTAAAAGGCACAATTCACAATCAAAGCTATCTGGACATGGTTGTTCTAAAGTTACATCTCATGTAAAAGGACAAAGTCAGTTCTTAAATGTTACTTCAGTTAAATTAAATCCGATAATTCATTAAATCAGTTGCTTCCTGCTTCAGCTAAAGTATGTCCAGTTAGAACACAGAAACAATACCAACTCCTCTTTCCAAGTTGCAAAGATATGTTTATGTGCATGATAGACAAGTTTTAATATATTTTCATTCAATATACTCTTTTAGGTATGTACATGAATGAATGTAAGATGTATACATATACACATAGGCTATAAGCACTTACACATTTTCCAGTCCTGGATTTGGGCCTGATCTGGACCTCTTGATTGTTCTGCCATTTTCTCTGCAGTTCCCCCCAAGAAAGATCGATCTTGATGCAAGGATATGTTTCAGTTATCAAACATAGATTTCTACTTAGTGTTATCCCTGTAAATAAATTACCTATGCCATTGGTCCTATCACAAAACAACACCAAATCTCAGGCTGGTTTCAGACGTGAAATCTGGTTACTGTCCACTAGAGGCCACTGTCATACTACAAACACATGGGCATTGAAAGCACAGCATATATTTGTCTTTCTGTTTCTCTCCTCAAAAACAGGAAAGATAACGTTAACTAAACTAACTAACTCAAACACATCTACAGAGTGCACAAACTGTGATCTTACCAACATCCGGGGGCACACAGTACAATGTGAACCTTTTATTCGAGGATGTATATTCACCACTGCTTGTATTTCCCATAGACTGTACGTATTTCCGCATGGAGGTGGAGACTTGAAGGGGGCAGGCCTGCTTGTGTTACGTTTAAGGAAGTTGCTCAATATTGGAAAGTTTACACATTGTACCAAACCAAACCGTGAGCAAAACGTTTGATATTGTCTTTCCTTTCATGGGTTTAACGGCGGATAATTAACACCCATAGCGGCGTTGTAAGTTGCACACCATGTTAAAATAACTGTCCAACAGGTTGTGTCATTATTTTGTCGTAGGATGAATAACTCAATAACTTCCACTACTTACATCCGAAACCTCAGTTATAGTTTGCGTCGCAAGTTGTCCGACTTTTTGGATCCCCAGGACAGATGGAAAGATGTTATTGTGTCGATACGGAAGCCGAGTGGGGAGTTGGGGTACTCTCAGCATCATGTCAGGTAGGTGAATATAGCTGGTGTATTTGCTGTGTTATTGTTTCAGTTAAGGTCGAGAATGCTAGAATATCCATTTATCTATTCGTCTATTTTCTTTATTAATATAATATTTCATATATGTATGTGATGTATTTGTTTCTCAGGAGATTTGAAAGGCTTGTGGCACAGGGGGAAAGTCCCACGGTGGCTCTGCTGGCTGACTGGGGGACCACCAACAGTACAGTGGGTGAACTGGTGGACATTTTGAAGAGTCACAAGTTACTGGCTGCTGCTAGTATCCTGCTACCTGATTTAAAACAAAACGGTATAATGATAATCCCAGGCTATGAAATAAACATGTAAGCCTATCTATGTATCATCAGTGGTCTGTTACATTTGAAAATATTTTCTAATTCTTAAATCACGAACTCTCAAAACATACATCATCCCCATCAAAACAGTTTTCCAATTAAATCAAATCAGTAAGTGATAGAATACATGCATTTATACTTCAATAATTTATCAGTTCCAGGTTTGTTACAAAAGCATGAATGCCATAGAGAGGGAAGAGACACCTCTTAATGGCAGATGTAAAAACATACATATTCTAATCATATATAAAAACAATCACCAAAGAGTAACATACTTATTGTTAATGACATTGTTGTGACATGCAATAAAAGCGTCTGTTTTCTGAGGAATGACATTATGACTTACAATACTAGTTTCAAAACAAAAGGGGAAAAGTAGGCCTACTACTATCTAACATCTACACAGAAATGAGCAACATAAAAAAAACGTATTTATTTTAAATTGTGTTGTTTAAATAATCTGTAGAAATGCCCATCTCAGTATCAACAACCAATTTAAGATATTAAGACTACTGCGCCATATCAACAAAATAACGTATTCAATGTTTTGTCCAGACACAGTGGAAGAGGATGTTTTACCAGAGATACAGCAGGCCTCTCCAGCAGTACAAACGAACAGCGCTGCTCCTACTAGACTCCTGGAAGACACAGAGACACGGCCACCAGCTGAGAGCTCTGTTCTGCAGACACAGATGCTACTGGAGAGCAGTGAGCCAGAACACACAGGTAACTGCACTTTAGTTTTCTTTCAAATGAAGTTAAATATAATTGTATTTAGTTATGTTTACAAACCCAACTGTTGAGAAGCTATAAATATGACATGTTTATGCATACAGAGTCCATCGTTTTTGATCTCTAAATAAGAGGAGGTTGTGATGCACATGGCACTAAACAATATGTGATTGCAAGTTGAATAGATTTTAAGAACACAGTTTTGAGAAAATAAAGTGCATGTTTTGACTTTAATTACACAGTTTAGAACTGCTCCAATACAAATAAAAGTACTTCATTCAATATCCAAAAGTAAAAGTAATGTACTTTATAAATTGTATGGTGTTCGCCTTTTAAAATATATTATATTTTACTACTATGAACATGTTTTGTGTGGAAAATGTTAATCTGCAGAGGAACCTAAGACTTTAGCTTTTAAATAAAATAAATAATTGGAATTGTAAAACATTGCAAATAATTGTTCCTGAGTAAAATAATTTAGTTCCACTACTAAAAAAAGCTATTTTATCTTGGTTCCTGACATCTATATTTCTACATGTACAGTAAGGATGCTGCTTCTATGGGAATGTGTACGTTTACTAAATTGACCAGCAGGTGGCAGCAATGAGAGCTCAACTACATAAGTTAAAATGAAACTTTTCTGTGTTCCTCATTAGGTGTCTCCAGTTTCCTCTACAATGAGCTGATGAAGATCACAGGCAATTTTGATGACCGGCCAATATCAGACGGCGGCAGCAGACTGGGAGAGGGAGGCTTTGGCATTGTGTACAAAGGTCTCCTAAATGACAAACCCGTTGCTGTGAAAAAGCTCAATCCTGTAAGTTTAAAATGTTTTATGGCAATATTATACTTATGCTCATTTTGCAAATCACAACATAACATACTCTCTCATTTAGATGGAGGACATCTCCCTGGAAGAGCTGCAAGTTCAGTTCAACCAAGAGATCCAGACTCTGAAAGTGTACGTTTTATCGTCTCTCTAAATCCTTGTTGATCAGGTTGATTTTGATGACTCAGTCACAGCCACCTCATAACCATTATGTTTTATATGCTAGAGCCAACAAGCTGTTTCTGCAGGTTCAAGGTTTTGTAAAAGCAGCCTGCGTTTAGCTTAGGACCGACAAATACATTCAGGTTGAATAGATACTTTTAGCCAGTTATTGTAATTACTAAATGGACAATGAATGGAGTTGGTCGATAAAGATATTGGTAAAATCGGCAATGCAAATACTTTTCAGAGTAGCTTTTTTGTGCGACCATGGGGTTTGATTAAAACTCAGCAAGCAAGGAAACCCTAACCCTAACCCTTGCTAGACATTTTTCTTTGAGGTCAACATAGATTCATTTATTTGTAATTACAGATCTGGTTTGATGAGACAGTTTGTTCCACAGGCTGAAACATGAAAACCTGGTTGACATGGTTGGATTTTCCTCTGATGGTCAGCACCCATGTTTGGTGTATCCCCTCATGGTCAACGGTTCTTTGCTGGACCGAATCGCTTGCTTGGTAAGCATCTCAACTTGCTTGCTTCTATCACCTGTGCTTTACTTTACACAGATTAATTAATTGTTTGCTTTTTTTCCATTCAGGATGAAAGCCCTCCTCTGTTCTGGCGACAGAGATGCTTGATAGCTGAAGGGACAGCGAGAGGCTTGGAGTATCTGCACAGCAACCATCATGTCCACAGAGACGTTAAAAGGTACATACAGTGAGGTGTATCTTCATTGTCATGCCTTTTAATTAAATGATCTTTTCCTAATATAATAATTAAACATTTTGGGAAATACAATTTGTTTGACTTTTTCAAAGAACTATTCTATTGTTCATGTTGTTTTTACAGTTCTGATACATGATACAGGATAAGTATTTCCCCCAGTTTTCTGTCTGTTTGCAAAGCTAGGTTTATAACAACTTTACAACAAAAGGATATGAGATGGGCTTCAATCTCCGTATTATTTTCAAAATGTCCGGTTATTTCTACAATTCAGGGCATAAAGATAAACAAGTTAAATGTCTTTATAACTGAACAAGCACTTTATATATATTTGTATCAATATATGCTTATTTAGTATACGAGCTCTAGTGAACTGGTACGTGGATGTTGTCAACGTATGGACAACATCAGGAAGATACGTCCCCAGCTGACACAGAAAGCGACGCAGGTTCTGGTCCAGGCTCTCGTCATCTCAGGCCTAGACTAATGCAACTCCCTCCTGGCTGGTCTACCTGCATGTGCCATCCGACCTCTGCAGCTCATCCAGAATGCAGCGGCTCGTCTGGTCTTCAACCTTCCTACATTTTCCCACACCACTCCGCTCCTCCGCTCCCTTCACTGGCTTCCGGTAACTGCTAGAATCCACTTCAAGACACTGGTACTTGCTTACCATGCTGCGAATGGATCTGGCCCTTCCTACATCCAGGACATGGTTAAACCGTACACCCCAGCGCGTGCACTACGCTCTGCATCAGCCAAACGACTCGCTGCACCCTCGCTGCGAGGGGGACCCAAGTTCCCATCAGCAAAAACACGTGGGTTTGCTATCCTGGCTCCAAGATGGTGGAATGAGCTCCACATTGACATCAGGACGGCAGATAGCTTGCACATCTTCCGGCGCAAACTGAAAACTCATCTCTTTCGACTCCACTTCGAGCGATAGATTTATTAACAAAGCACTTATATACTAATAAAGGACTGGCTTATCTAAAGCCAGTTGAGTAGCACTTGAAATGTTTGGCTCTATGAAACCTGATGTACTTATATGATTCTGTTTTCTTCAAGGTTGTGTCTTCCTGGTTGAATGTACTTATTGTAAGTCGCTTTGGATAAAAGCGTCAGCTAAATGCAATGTAATGTAATGTAATGTATGGCAGAGCTATGCTAGCTCTTTCCATTAATTGTGCTAAGGTAAGCTAACCTCCTGCTGTACTGTAATCTTTATTTTCTTCTTGTCAGTGCAAATATCCTCTTAGATGAAACATTTGTGGCTAAGATCTCAGACTTTGGGCTGACGAGGGCATCGGCCAAGCGGACGTCAACAACCATGATGACGGAGAGGATTGTGGGAACCCGTGCATACATGGCACCTGAAGCGCTAAGAGGACAGATCACATCAAAGTCTGACGTCTTCAGCTTTGGAGTGGTAGGCTTTCTGCACACTCCCAAAATGCATGCACACACACATTGACTGGATATTATGTCTGGGAAAAAACAACTGTAATGTAAAATGTAAAAAAAAACTCAGCAGTTTACTTAAGTGCAAGGTTCTTACAAAGTACTGACACATACATAATTGCAGGACATAAACATTAGCGTATACATTTCTTCACATTTGTGAAAATAGAGCTTTATGTTATGTAATGTATATTATTGCCTACAAATCAGTGAAGGGCCACAGCTGAGTATTAGTAGCTGTAAATATCAAACATATAATCCATTGTACGACATTAGTAGATTGTTTTATGGGATCAGCAGTGTGTAAAACCTCCTGACCTTCTACACAGTGCAGTATGTACAGCCTATATGTGTTATATGGACAGCTGTGCAAACACTACAGTGTCTGTGAAGCTACCTGGCACATGGTGGAGTACTAAAGGTTTTTGTGACATCCAGAGCCATGTGATTGACCCCATCTCTCTGCCATCTACAGGTGTTGTTGGAAATATTGTCTGGACTCTCGCCAGCGGATGAAAACCGCGAGCCACAGTTCTTGGTGAGCAGCACAAAAGAGGCTTTCTCTGTGTATCTATCAAGCTCAAGTTTATGATAACAGCTTACTCGAGATTTAACCTTTAATTAGTCAGGGCTCAGTATCAGTTGGTAGTCAAAGAGAGATTTGAATTAGTTTCACCTGTGCTGGGCAAAATGTACAGTATATGTTGGAGTGTCCAAATGAAAAGGGACACTAGAAATCTAATTCCCCGACATGATTGAAGCAATAATACTTAGTTGAAGAGGAAGCAATATAGTTTATCACTGCCGTAAGTCACATATAGCGCGATTTTTCATCCCCTCCACTCCCAGATGGAGGTGAAGGATGATATAGATGATGAAGAGGAAGATCTGACTTTGGAGGAGTTCCTGGACAAAAAGATGAGCAATTGGGAGATGAGCCAGGTGGAGAGTGTGTACTCTCTGGCCTGTAACTGCCTCCTCGACAGGAAAAACAGACGGCCAGTCATCAAACAGGTACAGTGGGGAGAGATAACGGCAGATATTTAAAGTTGAAGCTACTGTGCAACACTTTCTGTGTCACCTTGAGGGAAATACCTGTATAATCAATTCCAGGCGCATTGATAAGTCTGGTGGAGAAGGTCTCACCGTATCCCATAATACAACCACATCGATCAATGTCTTAATCTGTCTGCACCGCCTTGACTTCCCCAGCTTGGCTGTAGCTCTCCCATGATTCATCGAAGTATACTGAATATATAAATCGTAGGAAACATACATATTCAGTGTAATTTCCCTTAACAAGGTTGCACTTTAGTTTGGAAAAACCTTCAAACAGGACAGGAGTAAATAGTGAATTTGTTAGGGACTATTTTCAGCTGCGGATTTGGGTTTGGACAAGACGCTGCATAAGAGATAATCTTAAAATAAATAATGTTCAATTCCCCTGTTAATCCTATCAAAGGAACATGTTACTACATTTAACAGTGTGGCATGTTAATAATATTGTTAAGAAGACAATGTTTTCTATATAAGGTTTTATTCTCTGCATGAAAATGCTAAAAACTAAAGTGCATGTCTTTTTATTTGTAGACTGTCTATTTGAGCTATTCATTTAAATATATTTCTTAACAGGTCCTGTTGGAACTGAAAGGAGTTGTCAAAAGCATTTCACTGGATTTTAGAGCACAGGATTGAAGCATCCCAGAAAAGATCCAAGCTGTATGAGCCTTCTCACGTCACCGTGCGCAGAATAAATGTTACTTGTTGACTGTGACTGACAAAAAGTGTTGTATACAAAACACAATACTCAAATAAGAACTCAGTAATAAATGGCATTTTTGTATTTTATTATGAATGATTTACTATATTTCTAAGAAGTAGCTTAATTTACTTTTTTTCTACAGCATTTTACGAGATTGTTTTGCCAGGTTTGATATTTGAATGTCTTAAAAATACTGATAGTCTGTTCCGATTAGTGTCCACTTAATGTATTTATTGTAAAAAGAATAAAAGGAAACAGAAAATGTGTGATTTAAATATTTTATTTTTTCTTCGTTAAAAGAAAGATGGGTAAGAAAACAAATAAGACCGAACATGATTTTATTTTCTATTAGAATGACAAAGTATGAATATACAGGAAGTGATTTTCCCTTCAGACATGAGGTGAGCTAAGTAGTTTGCCTAATATTAATCAGTCGACCAGTGGATGTAGCAACATTTTCATCAAGGTATTAAGTATATTATTCCCTTTCCTATCCGGCTGCTCGGCTGCCCTCCTGTTTGGGAACCAGCAAAGTTGGAGTAGCTTCCTCTGAGTGAAATCTGAGATGTACTGATGGACTATTTCTGGAAGCACTGGGTCTTTCCACTGTGATCCTCACCAACACAGACTAGACTGTTTCTTAATCATATAGCATCACACAGCTACAATATGTACATTTACAGCACTTGCATAGAAAAATAAGTTTCTCAGCAGATGATTTTTTTCATGTAAACCACAGTAATATCAAAAAAGAAGTCAATTTTCCAAATATAAAATGCACTGTTAAAAGGAATCAATAGACACAAGTGGGATAACTTTTTCTGCTTTGGAGCACTTCATTGTGCAAACAGTAGGAGACAATTTCAACATATTAGACACAAACACATTAATTGACACAGACTTAAGGAATGCAAGTTAAGAATTCAAGCATGTGAACTCAGAATGTTTTTGTTTTTTTTATCATATTGGCGCAACTTCACATTAGTCACATTGACACTTTGTAAAGTCTCAGAGCTGGCAACAATGTGGAAACCTCACATTTGACTTTGTTTGGGCCTCTTTTAAATCATTGTGAATAGTTGTGACTGTACTAACATACATGAATATGCTTCCATTTGGCAGGCTACAAATGGAGAATTCTGAAGTGTGTCATTGCTCAGTTGTCCTTGGCGTGCATAGTTGGGTCTCTGGGGATGTTTACGGGCGTTTGAGGTTGTCGTCTTATTCTTTTAAACAAGCGTGTCAAATATAATTTCCCCCATTGCAGGAATGTTCCACTGTGGAACGTGCTCGGGGTGGAGGTGGTGGTGCTGAGGTCTGTTTAATCTCTCTCCTCTCCCTCTGGGGCGGGTCGGGTGATGCGGCGCACGCCCCTCTTCCCGGTGGGGCCTTTGGGCTTGGCGAAGGCCGGCTTGTGTGCATGCTGCTTGGGATGCACCTCTTCGTACAGGAAGTCACCGGTCAGTTCATCTCCGTTGTCGATCTCCAACTGGGAAACAGACCGAACATATGAGCAGATGCACTTGCAGACACAACATAATCAAAAACTCCTTAAGCAAAGCATGTTCTTTTGAAGTATTAAAGGTTCTACTTTGTGGTGACCATCTGTTTCGAATATCATCTTCGAAACAGAAAACACACTCTTTATACTATACTAAACAAATAACCTCATGAATTTACTTTTTAGCACTGAATCCACATCAGGAGGCAAATTGTCCCTTTAAAGACTCTTAAAACATTTACTCAATCCACTTTAAAAAGTTTTAAAGGTTTTGATTTTTAAGGGATTTCTGTCTCGTGTCTGAGATGTTCTCACTGGTTCAAAGTGAGGGGGATCCCTTAAGGAAAAGGTGATGTCATGTTGCGCAAAAGTAATGAATTAAGCAATAAATAAATGACAAATGTGACGGTCATGCTTCCCAGTCAAAAAAATCTTACCAAACTAGGGCATCAACTAATTATTTTTGCTTTGTCAATAAAAACTTCAATTAAAATTCAATATGGAAATAGTTCCATTTACAGTATAAACAGTGTAAAGTATTTAGGATGCTTGAACCAGTGAACTTGCAGCATTTTTCATTGAAAAGTATCCAAATAGTTGCTGAAAATGTTCCTGAGGGTGAACTAATTGTTGCAGCTCTAGATCAAACCAAACACAAACTGACCTAATCATTAATAAATTAAACATAATTATGTTAGTTCCGAATTCTAACGTTGATTGTTGCCTATTAATTAGAAATATTTTAAGAAATAATCAGGATTTAATGAAGGTTTTAAGGGCTTAAAGTTTGTGACAAAAAAATACGAAGATTTGTATGCCATAAGTATTTTATCATGATGGATAGTCTCACCTTTTTCTCGATCTCGATCTGGAGGTTGTGCTCCACCATGTCCACCAAGGGGTTTTTGCAGCTGGAATACAGCATCCTCTCTCGGATGCTACAGTTGTACCCGGGCATGGAGTAAATGAACACTGCAAAGGGAAGAAAAGACAATTAGAAAAGCAGACACAAAATATAATTCGAAACAACATAAGAAACATAGACGTATAGAAATAATAGAGTTGACTTTTCATAATAAGTTGTGAGAAACTAATCACCTGTGGACTCTAGGTAGTCGCCTTCGTGGGAATGTTTGTAGCGGAAGAAGTGGTAACGTGCAGATTCTTTAGGGATTCTCAGTGGCAGGTCTTTCAACTCTGTTGGCTCAGTGTTGGACAACCGAATCAGCTCCTTCTCAGCGTCTACTTCCTGTAGACAAAGGAATGGAAAAGTTACTCACGAGGTTGGTGGCATGCGCTTGTGACCATGTAGTTCCTGCTTGGAATTCTAGACAAATTAGGAACATCTGTGTGGGGTGAGTGAATGAAATCAAGCATTTCCCTCGCTCTGAGGTGGAACATTTACTATACAAATGCCTTTGTTAGATAAATACATCAAACACTCTGCTGTCTTGAGAAGCTTTTAGGATAACAGACAAAAAAGGGAACAGAGACAAAGCAGTGCCACAATTATTCCTTTGTACTTGGCGATGATCTGATCCGAGTTGTGACATAAAGCCTTTGAATTTCAATGAGAAGGACAAAGGCTTTTTGGGCAAAATGAGTAACTCATTGTGTCGGTCTGTAAACAACTCCTGACCAAAAACACCCTATCTCTCCCAGCAAAATGTAATGAAAGAAAAGAGACTTGATTTGTTTATCCAATTATTGATGGGGCAAAGGTCATAAACTGACGAATGATTTGCTCTTAAGGACTCACCAGTTGTACGTAGTTGACTCTTTTGTCCCTAAAACGTTCAAGTGCTGCAATAGCGTCTTGGTGGATAGGGAAGGCCACTCCCTGCAGAGTCTGCTGCTTGGTGTCCACGCTGATGTCCGTCTGCACCTGAACACATCACAAAAAACAGGAAGAGGCACTTCAGCTTCCTATCATCCTGCCATAGACACATTAATGAGACAATAGATAACACATAGGTGGCATTTATTATTACTTTATAAAGTACATTCAAAAAGGTCTCTTCACACACACACACACACACACACACACACACACACACACACACACACACACACACACACACACACACACACACACACACACACACACACACACACACACACACACACACACACACACACACACACACACACACACACACCACACACACACACACACACACACACACACACACACACACACACACACACACACACACACACACACACACACACACACACACACACACACACACACACACACACACACACACACACACACACAACTCTTGAAAAACATCCATTTCCTGTCAGGAGTTTCATGATAAAGAGTTGTGGATAAGTAAAATATAATAAATGTTTTTCTCATTTCTTGTCAACAGAAAGTAAGAAGTGCAACAAGCAGCTTGCTGGAGCATGATGATTAGGTGAGGTGCTTGTATCGGCAGTGACAAGGCGCCTCCACCAAATCAGACAGAAAACTGGAAATGCTGGCGGGGATTACTCTGATGGATTGCATCTATTTTTAGAGCTCTGTTCCCACAAAATGAAATGCCGTGCAAACATGATTGAGCCTCCGATGTAGCTACCTCGCATACCAAAAAGGATTGCGGGTCTTTTATCCATCTGCTTAGTAAAAGTCAGGCAGTCTCCAAAGCACAGCAATGATACATATTTTAAAGCCCCTTTTTCATCTAGGCGGTCCAGATTAATGGTATATTATCTTCCTTCAACAGCTGGTCAAGTGGGACGAGCACAAACCTCACTTCCCATTTGCTCTGCTGTCTTTAATTGAGCATACTTTGGAGAGGGAGTGCACTTCTCAAAGCACTTCCATATATGGTAAGAAAGACAGTTCTTGTTTGTGTGGTGAGGTCTGGAGAGCAGCAATTAGAAAAAGGTAGTTTCTCAAAAAAGCAGAACAGATCATTTGGGTTCATTTAAGGGAACAGCACCACAAAGTCCGAAGAGTAAAACTCCAGATGCCATGTTTCTGTCTGGTGGAGTCAGTGTGAACACCCCTGCAGCATTAGCAGGATATATTTCTTTATCTTTTCTCTGCCAACAACAAAGGGAAAGCACAGTGATACAGCTCACCTGTGCTTCACGCAGAATCACTGCTGAGTGCTCATAACTACAGAGAAACACATTTGCATGAAGCTCTCTCAAATATATATTTGAACACCGATAAAGAGCTCAGACATGCAAACAAACATATATTTCATATTCAGAGTACTTTATGGTCCATTCGTTTTGCATAATGTGTCTTTTGAACTGACATAAAAGAAAAAATACACCACAATAATACGTATTAAACGTTTAAAGTGACCGAATGGCAGCGATAAAAGTGACGAGTGGACTGTTATTCCACTGGTATGTAGCCGTAGAGCTATGTGCTGTCCAAGCCCTAATATATTCGTCTCCGCCAACATCCTGCTGTTCTAATGCATCAGCATCTTTTCTCTGTTGATACTGCCGGGGCAAGCATATGCACACTGGCCCTGCTGCTGACCTTGTGCTGTTTGGAAGGATGCATCGCTGGCCTCCATTGATATGACCTCACACACAGCAGATGTGTTAAGGAAGAATACTGCTGTGAGCTGCTATTTGTTCCCCCTCTGTAACCTCAGATTAAAGGATGACGTAGTGTCATTTATTTTAAGAACTGAGAACAAGCCCTATCCACAACAGCCACTTCAGAACGGACTCAGGCAATTCAACGTGTCAACATGCCATGGGTTATTATGTGACAACAAGCATGGGAACAAGAGCCAAGAAATTCAATCCAAGTGTGTTGTCTGTGTGTTTGCTTGTCTGTACGTGTGTGTGAGTGTGTGTGTGTGTGTTCGCACCTCATTCAGTTTGATCTTTCTCAGTTCCTCCTCTGCAGCAGTGAGGGGAAGGGGGGCAGCCTGGACTGTCAGATATTTCCTGTATCCACTCAGATTCATTTCGTCCTGGGTGGGCAAATAACAGCACAATCACACATCGTACAGCAATACAGTTTGACTCACTGGCACATCTTCTGTCCTTTTGGTTTCCATACATGTATTAGACTGAAGCTTAACTTTTGAGGGTTTGTTACTGAGGCTTAAGGGCATAAAAAGAGCTTTTCGCAAATGTTAAGGATTCAAGGATCATTCGTTGTCATTTTGACAGAGTTGCACGAACAAATGCAGTTGTAGCTTAGTGGATGATGTAAGAACAGAGAATAACAATGGTAGTAGTAGTATGGGTTCCTCTTGTAAAGACCTACCTTTGTGTTACCGAAAATCTCATCCTTGATGTGCCCGCCCCCAAACTCTTTCTTCAGTGTGGCTCTGGTAGCAGCATATAACATTTTATGTCGCACCTGTTGAGAATATGTAGAAAAGTGAAAGAATGTTTATCGTTTAGTAAAATCAAACATTCTTGAGCTTAAATCTGGCAGCTTCAGAAGATAACATATTTCCCTATTGATCTTCCCTTCTTGCTTTGTGCTGGAAAAGACATTTATGTTCTGAACATAATTAGAACTGTGTTAAGTGATTGATTATATTCTTGCAAACACTTTAGTTTTCTCTCAGCATTGTTTATATGATAAAATGCTAGCAATCTTCTTCCCTGCCTTTGTTGATCCTTTACTATGTTTCATAGCATTAACACCACCTGTTAATTAAAACTAAGTAGCAAAAAGGGAACCTACTTATAAATAAAACATTGAGCCTTGGCACTACTAGTGGTCGAAAACTCCTTAGGGTACCTTTAAATGCCCTCTTAAACACAATCTTGATTATAGGCTAAATAAATACATTTGACTTGAGTTGACTCAGTTTAGCAGCTGGTTGTGAAAGGATCATGCGACTTCCAGGCAAGCCTCGGCCTGCAGCGAGGTGCTTTGGAGAGAGGGCAGGAATGTTAAACTTGAATATGGCTCTCAGAAAGTGAATTTAAGTTAAATTGCAGTATGTAGTTACTTAGAGCGCCACATATACCCTACATGGCTTTGTCTGGCATCGTTCTCTCCTTGTAACATTCCTCTTTCCACTGCGACAGAAACAACATGTGTGTGTCTATTTGTCATGGTAATTTTGGATCGCAGTGACAACACCAAAAGTTTTTGATGGAACCAAATGACAATGACTTACATTGTATGGGACAAGAGCACAGCAAATGCAAAACACACATTTGCATGACAAGAAAACAACAATAGTGAAACACTGAGAGGGAGGATTTTCAGTCGAGAGATGAGAGGTTTGAACTAACCGTGTTATTTGGAGAGCACCATAATCTGCCTGTGTTTAGATTTTCAAGCGGTCTGTTGCCTACATTTATGCAGTACTGATGTGGTAACCCCACCCAACTGATGCTCAAAGCAGAGGAGGACAAAATGCTGTGAAGTTGCACTATATCTATTCTACTTGTATTTACTTGCACTATTTTATCAGTTGTATTGTGTTGCACTGTTGGAGCAGCCTGTGACCTAAGATGTGTGACATAGCTACACTGTAGCTATGTACAAATGACAATAAAAGCCTTGAATCTTGAAAAGCTATTCATCTAACTTTTCTTACAGTAGAGTTGTCTGGTGACCAGGCCAGGAAGATCCACTCGTAGCCCTGGTTGTTGGTGGAGTCCAGCCGGTACAGAATATAGCAGGGCACGTCGTCCTCCAGGAGGGGCACAACTAAGGAATCGTACTCCTGGTCCCACTTCTTTGATGCTTTCCCGGTGGTGCCCATAGTCAGCTGCTCTACAAAGCAGATGTGTAAAACAACACAGTCAGCAGTGCACAGATTTGTTAGTAATGTCAGCTTTAGTAGACGTCTGAGAAGAAGTACGAGTTAAGTGTTTTCTTGGCAGAAGGAGCTGTAAACAAACACCCTGGGACACTGCTCACCGGCCTCAATGACGACCTTTATGACTCGATATTGGTCTCCATTCCTGGCTTTGGCAAAGATGTCTTTCACATCATTACCCGCTGTGAAAAGACAGAAGGGTGTTAGTTTCTACGGTTTTAAACTGATGCCTGCATGAACTGCACGCTCCTGCTAACACGACTTTTTTCAGCATCTGATTAAAATGTTTCCACCTAAAAATGTTGTGAGTCTTACTAACCTGTGGACCAGGTTACCACATGTTAGACACTAAATAAAGCTTTATTGATTATATGTATCTTTATTAACATACATTTCTAAATAACCTATTTCCTTTTAACATACTTTTAGTCAAGCAGAACATTTTTATAAATTATTTGGTCATATCCTCATCAAGCAATAATGAAACAATTACTAAACGCACAGTAAAACACTTAATGTGTATTATTTGTTACAATGCGTAGAAGGTTGCATGGTTTCAGTAGTACAGATGAGAACACAAACCACCTTTGAACCCAAATACAGGCACAATACAAATATCTCTCTGATATCAGGAAGCAAGGAACAATTCCCTATAACATAGACGATGTGGTCAATTGTCAAATACCATAATTTATTACACAGCTTTTCTACGGCAGTGTTATTATTCAAACACAGGAATTTAGTTTAGTTTTATCTACATGTTAGGTGTGGAGAGCTATAAACATGTATGTGTAAATAATAGCAGTTTGACCTAGACTACACCCTGCATACGCCTCTGCTGCACACATGTACATAATACGATTAGTCTGATATATACTTGACAGACTTTGACAGGTGAGTTAAACAGACATACCAACAAAACAACTGATCATAGTTTATTTAAGTATCAACTATATACGAAAAACCAATGTCACACGGTGGCCTGGGGTTAGAAGGGACATTTATAGTCACAACACATCTGTCTGTCATATAGCCTGTCTCTTATTAACTCACATAATTTGCAGGTTGCTTTACCTCAAAACAGACAAGCATTTCCGCGCCATGTTTAACAGGATGTCACGCCTTTTGTCAAGACTATTTTTTGTCTACCAGGCCAACAGTTTGTTTAAATGAAGGCGTCGCCCATCCATCTAGAAAGATAAACTAACGTTGCAGGATTACAGCTTTATACTGAGAAGCTAATGCATTTTGCAACATTGTAGAGAAAAAAATGGAGTAGCACTAGCCGTGATTTAGGTGGCTCATGAACTGGCTAAATGCTCAGGGATTAAAGCCTTAAAGTGCCCAAACAGGGCACCGCTGATCATCAGACACAGCACGATAGCTCACAGCTAGCTAGCTAACTTGACGCTAGCTTCTGGGTACAATGAATTGTTGGAGGTACTTAACGCTCACCCGGGAATGGCACACACGCACAACACAAGACATAATGAAAGAGACATTGAAAGCAGGGAAACGCATCTACCTTGAATGCCCGTTTGATGTGACATTGTGTCTTTCGTCGGATCAAGAGCTGATACAGCTGTTCAGGCGAAACCAGGGCAGAGAAACAGGAAGAGAACTACATGCACAAGAGCCGCCCCCCGTGTGACGTCATCAAGATCTAAATGACAGGACCTGGTCAAACAATTGTAATATATTTTATAATGACTAAATTATAATATATTTTATAATTAAACAATTATCATATATATGTTCCTTTTTTTATTACCATTTCTTAATAGGATTAATATTATGAAATTATAACGTAAGACCTAAATCTGTTATATGACAATTATTATGTTTAATAGTAAGAGAAATAAACAAAGTATTAATGTTCATTTATTTCCACATTTATTTATTTCAGTTTTTCTTCAAATGTATTTATTCGTGTATTTTTTGTATTCCTGTATGTATTCCTTTATTTATACATGTATTGATGTTGTACTCATGTCATGTTCTGTCCTCCATACCTGTATGCTCGTTGTGTGCACAAAGGTACATATTTTGTCTTTTGCTATGCTGATGTTACATCTGGAGAAATTATCCCCACCACTTTTTCTAACAAAGTGACGCCCATGATAACCCACATCTGCTTTTAATGTCACATGATCAAATTGACAATATGTATTCTTTTATTCTATACAGTGGAATTCAAAAATATTAGATTGGTTCTTTATATATTTACCAATAGGCTCAGGGTTGGAACACGATTAAAGCAAGTCAGTTATTTGTTCACTCTTAAATTCTGATCTTTATTCACGTAGATCTATATGTCCTGCTTTCATGGCAGCAAATCCTATTGGCGTGAAATCCTGCAACATCTGGACGCCACCGGGCTTCCTGCCTCTGCCATATGTCCCTCCCACTCCTCGGTAAAAAAATAAAAATATGGATAGATTTGACAGCAGAACAATTGTCCTCATCCTGTCACCAGAGGGAATCTCAGGAGATGTGTCACAGCTGGAGTCACACCGGAAATAATGTGAACCGGTCTTCAAAATAAGGGTTTTATTTATTGTCCTAAAAAGATTGGTGCTGTAGTTTAAACTGGCATACGCATGCGTAGCACAGTTCAGAGTTCAAATGAATGATTATAATGTTGAACTACCTCAAAGTGAATGCTATTAAGCTACATTTTATTGAGACATTTATGTGTCTTTACATACAGTCTTTGCTTTATGCATTGCTGATATTCACAAGGCATTATGTTAACTGTAGAAATAAAAAGCTTTAATAAAAAAAGAGCCACATTTAAATGTTCTAATGTTTATTTCAATAAAATGGCAAAACAAAGAACCAACACTCGTTTATTAACGGAATGTCAACCTTTAAACAACAATATACAGGCTGTGTGTGTGTGTACCTATAGGCCTACAGCAAACATCATAATATAATCATAATAATAATATCAATAATTAATTGCATTTTATCTTAGTACTAAAATACTAAATTATAACAAGCATATGTGAAACCCAAATAAAATAAAATGCATTAAAATAAGTAAGCACATGCCAATACTGTATGTATCTATGTAGGTTAATTGACAAACTTTTGTTATCACGTTTTACTTTGAAATGTGAAAGCGGAAGTATTATATTTGAACTGTCTCTTAACGCTGGTGAATAATGTGTTGGCTACATTGCGTTGCACAGATGCTATGCGTGCTGTGTGGATCCAGCCATCTCCATCCTCTGTACAGCAGCAGCGTCCCGTTCACAGCCCAGAAACAGCACCGCCCGGCGGGAACCTGCTGACGAAGCACCGCCCGGCTCAGCTAGCCCGCCCGGCGCATGGACGCTCCAGCACAATGGCAGAGGATTTGGGGATGCCTCTGTCGTATACCAACAACAGGTCGCATGGATAATCCCTCCACAAAAACCCTCCCGCATCGTTTCGTTTTTGGGATGATTAGAGCGCCGCTGTCGGCTTGATGTGACAGGAGAGCCGTGCGGGAGCGGGGCGTCTTGTCCCGGCTGTCGACTGAAAGCAACAACGGCGTGGAGCAGGTGCGTTCATGACGCTGATCCACCGCACATGCACACATTATATTACCGAGTTGCAAGCAGGTAAGGTCTGCACGAATTTCGGCCGTCCCAGATGTCTCTTGGAGCACCGATATTAAAGTTGTGTAATCAGATAATTCCAGTCAAGCCTGTGTTATCTGCGAGATGCGTGAGGTCGGCGATGTGACATTTGGCGTCATCGCTGTTGTGACATTAGAGGGGATGTGTGTGGTCACAGACTTATGCTCTTTACACGGTAGTCCATTCAGGAATTGACAGATTTGTCCCGAATTGACGGACCACTCAGTGTATTTCCTGCAGGCAGCACTTAGGTCTATTGGGCCAGTAATTTACATGGTTTAGGAAAAGCCAGGGAGTTTAGAGCATGTACCCTACCATGAGCAAGATCATAATAATGATGATTAGGATATCAAAGTTCTTGCAGATTCTACTGCAATCTCAAATGCATATCCATCATTGTCAGCCCCCAGGTTGATGAGTCCTTTTTGGGTATTATTTGCATGTTTTCTTCCTGTATTCATGGGGGTCCTTTGGGTGCCAGCTGAGTCCCTCTCCATGCATGTTTGGGACTCTGCACTGGCCTCAAACTGGGTACAGGTCCCATGTCACAACTGCCCCTCTTAATGTGTATAATGGGATAAAGGCAGAACATTGATTAAGTGTGTATGGAATCACTGGTTTAGCAAGACCCAAGGTGGCAAGATAAAACAGGATGCTGGTGAAATGTAATAGCCACATGGGGGTTTCACTTTGGCAGCTCTATTTCTGGAGACGTTACATCATCTAATATTCCCACTGTGGGGTATTTTGGGAAGCTGTGTCAAAGCAGGGAACTGGTTTGGGGAATTCAGTCGAGCAAAGTCAGACCAGTCACAAAGGGCTACAGCGAGGGAGTTCAGAGTGAAGTCGATGGGTGTCGTGCTTTAAGAATACAGGGGGGGGGGACTGTTGGGAAGTTACTCCAAGCGTTGCCTCTGCTTGGCAGGTGTTCCCCAACAGAGCATAAGTGTAATGCTGCCACACTTTTTCTGAGGTGAGCACAGAGTAGACAGGCTGAGAGGATAAGCCTTTTCAAGAGCCAGCGCTTTATAGCTAAGCACTTCAAGATTCTACCTTATCCAGGTATGGCACTAAACTTCAACCTGTTTTTCTGACTGAAGAATTTAGTTTAAAAGGCTTAATCTTTGTTCAGCTTTTTGTTAAGTTGTGAGCTCAGCTAACAACCTGTTTTCATGCACCTGATTCTTTGCTGTCATGGCATCCCCATCCAGACGGCTCAAGCCCTCTCTGACATGTTTGTGTGATAATCTTTGCGTTGACGTGAAAGCCTGTCTCTGCACTAAGACATCTCTGTGTAGGTGCATTATTGGCACTGCTGCTGCACAGAGTTGTCTGAATTTAGCATAATCTCACAATCTCTCCCAAACCTCAGTTACACTCAGAACACTAATCTCAATCTGAGGGATGTTTCACTCTAATCTGCCGTGCTGATTTGAGTATAATGTAATCTGACTGAAATGTGACTTTCTCTCTCTCACCCTCTCACCCTCTCTCCCTCTCTGACTCCCAGGTGTAGTGTGGCTGGGGGGCTCAGCAGGATGGAAATAGATGCCCGTTTCCGCTACTATTTCCAGCACCCGTGGTCACGTCTCATCGTGGCCTACCTGGTCACCTTCTTTAACTTCCTCATCTTTGCGGAAGACCCCATCTCTCACAGTCAGACAGAGGCCCATATGATTGTGGTGGGCAACTGCTTCTCCTTCCTGTTCAACAAGTACCCGGGCCTCGAATGGAACGCCCTGAAAGTAATATGCTGGATACTGGCCATTATCACCGGCATGTTAGCTGGGAAGTTTATATTCCACCGCCAGCTCTTTGGTAAGTCATGCACACATTAATGCAGGGGAATGTGCAGAGTAATGGCTTTACTGACGGAGGAAACATTCCTCTTGAATGTTTTTTCTGGCGGGTGTCATCAAGCACCTTACACTCATTTTCCACATTTCTCAAATATTAATGCAATAAAAGGCATTTCTCATGTATTAACAATCGGCTCACATCTTCATAATTATGCTCCTGCACCCATTCCTCTCCCTCATAAAACTCTCTTTGACTCACTTATCATTAGAACTGGGTCAAACTGTATTTTTAAATAGTTTCATTTCTCTCTAATTTGTATAGGGTTGCAACTACCAGTCATTACATATATTAAAATACATTATCACCATTTCTAAATTCCAAGTTGATGCTATTCGCTTAATATGTTGGATCAACACTGTAAAACCTCAAAATAATCAGTCACTGAAGAAGAGAAAACACTCGTAGAAGTCTTACTTGGTTTTATGGTCTATTTGTCCTGCTTTTTATCTGCTCAGTGGCTCTCTACCTTTTTGGCGCTTAACCTTTTGTAACGGTGCACAACCTACTCACACCCACTCTACCCTTTTAAGATGCATATGCAGAGTGAACACCAAGAAAAAACAAACAAAGCACCACTACTTTTATTCAAGTTGTTATGTTTATTTGCGATAGGAAGCTTAGATATGAGAAACCATTCCGGGTCTTTAAATTTAAAGAAGTGAGACAATAATGAAAATTCAGATTTATATAAAGAAAAATAGGGAATGCTACTTTTGAGAAGAAAAACAAGGGGATGTTGAAGTAAAAAATGGGGTGCTCTTTAAGGGTAGGGCAAATAGTCAAGTAAAAACAAAAGAAAAGCATTCATACTATCAGGACTATGATATCATTAAATTGAATGCAACCCATATATGTGTTTGAATACACACACTTTCCTGCTATGAAAGAGCCTCTGAAAAACAACACCTGTCATATTTGAGGTGTTTCAGTCGTTGTGTTGCTCACTTCGTCGACCTATCACACCTCTTTAATGCATTTCCTCTTATTTTTCACCCCTTTGCCATCTTTCTCACTTATTCATACAAGCCCAACCTCCTCTCTCTTCTCACTCTCTTGACAGCCTGACTCTTTCCATTTACTCTCCTCTCATAAGGCCGTGACTCCAATCTCATCAGCCCGTCATTTGTTTTAAACAGCTTCCTATTCAACTCATGCATTTCATTTCCTAGTCACTTCACAACTCACTTAGGTGGGATAATATTGGCCACCCTGGCTTATCTCCTTGGTATGAACCATAATTGGAGGGCAGAGAGAAAGATCGAGAGGGGGGTTAGTTCCCTGAGTGATCATCTTCTATGAGCATAAATAGAAAGCCATGAGTGCATAGTAGGGGTGTAACGGTTCACAAACATTTCGGTTCGGTACGTACCTCGGTTTTTTGGTCACGGTTCGGTTCGGTACGTTTTCGGTACAGCAGAATTTTTTTTTCACAAAACAAAACATATATATATATATTTTCTTTATTATTATTAAACTGTGAATAATGTATTCACTCAAATAAATACAAAATATAATAAAATAAACATTAAGGTGCAGCATTTCGAAGAACTGAAATAATCTGTATTTGAACTTTACTGTAGGCTACTAGTACTCACAAAACATAAACTATTAGTTTTGGGTTTTTAATTATTATTAAACTGTGAATATTCACTTAAATAAATACAAAATATAATAAAATAAAAATTAAGGTGCAGCTTTTCGATGAACTGAAATAATCTGTATTTGAACTGAACTGTACTAGTTCCTAAGCAGCCAGTTTGACATTAGGACTTGCTTGTCATTGTATTTTCATGTTTTTTTTAAAGAAAAATGAACTTGTCCACATTGCTTGCTGAAAGGGCAGATCTGCTGGCACTAACAATGTCTCCTCCTGTGGAGAACACCCTCTCTAGGGACAGAGGTAGCAGATACAGCCAGGTAGCGCTTTGCTAACATGGCAACATAAGGATATTTGGTGTTTGTAATAGCGTTGGCTCGGTCTGAACTCTCTGCGAGTGGTGGAGGCTTAAATGCTAGTGGGAGTTGGGTTTGCACTTCAGTCTTTTTTCTTTTGGTACCGGTGATATTCACGTTCGGGTGATGCCTTTTCAAGAGTGTGCAAGTTTGATGTATTGCCAGCCGCGGAACCAATGTTAGTTGAACAATGCCGACAAACAGCTTTGGTTCGGTCCACCTGTCTTTGTCCTTCATCCTTGTACGTAACTGCGAAACCAAAATGTTCCCAAACCGGAGACTTCAATGATGCTGGAGGATTTTCGAGCTCAACTTTATCTGCGTTCGCCATTAATTTTCGACAGTTCCTCAAATTACTGACTACATTTGAACGCATCCCTCTGACCAGCTCTCATAGTATGCCTCTCATCCAATGAAATGACTTGCTCGCTCTATGACGCGTTGAACCCAATGTGAGAAAATTACTCTGAATGCTGCGACGCAGCACCTGAGATTACTTCCAAAAAATTGTTCACGTTCTCAATTTTTTTACGTTTAACGTTATATTCGTTCGGTACACTTCGGTACACACCTGTACCGAACCGAAGGGCCCGTACCGAATAATTTCGGTACGGGTACGTGTACCGTTACACCCCTAGTGCATAGTGACATGATATTGTGCAAATACAGAAATGGAAAATAGCTTTAAGGACACATGATTTTCCTGCAAATGGTGGACAGTTGCTGGAAGTGATAATCACAGCTGTTCTGTCTCTCCACATAGGGTTATTTGATCCTGTAAACATACAGGGTCTTTGGATTAAGTTAGAGAGGTATATTTGGTATAGTTTTATGTCGAAATATGAGACAGTCACAAGACAAACATCTGAACTGCACCATAAATGTTTTGGTCCTAATAACAGGGTCACCAGTCAGGCAAGGTTGAGAAACACTGATCCATGATGTCAATAAATATAGAAGAAAATGGTAATTTTACCCAAGATACATAAGAATAGTTTTATCTATCTATCCATGCAGATATTTTTGGTTTGGTTTGATATTTTGGGCAATGTGCTTTCTTGCTGAGAGTTAGTGCTAATAAATTGATACCATACCCATATCTACTATTGTGAAGCTAAAACTAGGGTATGATTAGCTTAGCACTAGATACATTTTAAGTGGGGGTAAAAGCTATCCAACTAGTCTCTAACTGACTAATAACATATTGTATCCTGTTTTTGTTTTTTTAAATCCATACCTTGACAGAAATGTAACACGGTTATGGTTGTGGTGCCTCGGCTGGTTACCTGATAACATCATAACCAAAGCCTGCGCTACTCTGTATTATCCACTGAACAGGTTCTGAACTGCATGGTATGCAGATTATCCAAAGTAAGGGATACTGTTTCTGGAAACACAAACTTTTGCGCATAATCAATAATTATAAAAACAAAACCGCAACAATAAAACGTTACCAGTGAGGAAATGTTGTATTTGTGTTAATTTAGATGAAGTGACCCATTTTACAGTTGTATTTGTAGTCGTGGGCATCATTTAAATGTCACACAAACGAAGCACATTTTCCTGTCAATAGTGTGCCGTATTGCTCCACTCATGGCAGCTGAGAAGTAGCTCTCAGTGAGGTTTTACAGTGAGGCCCAGTGTGGCAGGATCAGGGTTTATATACTTCCATTTGCTTGAGTGTATCAGGACAGACAGAGTGCAGCTCTTCCTGCAGCCAGGTAAGGCTAATGCACTTCAACAAGCCTCCAAACAGATGGTTTGTGTTTCTGTGTGTGGGTGTGTGTTTGTAACTGCGAAAGAGTGGTGATATGTTGTGTTTGTATGAGCGATCGTGTGAGAGAAAAGGTCCATGTGTGTGTTTGTAATCACACAGATGCAGTGAATCTGTGGTGGAGAGGGAAAGAGATTGTTGAGAGTTGGAGAGGAAAGATGTGTCCTGCACAACATTTCAGTGAGGCAGTTATGTAATCCCAGCCCAGGTAAGGCCTAAGAGCTGCGCAACAGCACCAGCCTACTGTAAAATCTATCATCTATTATAGATCTGTCACACAGGCCCACATCCTGCAATGTCTTTGCAGATCTCTATACAATATATCTCTTCTGCACTCTGATATGTAGGCAGGCAGTGGGAACACTTCTGGATAGGAACACGGTCCATGCAAAGCTTTTAATACCTGGAGAAAAGCACTCTGAAATCAGAGTTTGTGAAGGTTAAAAGTATTTTCTGCGGTTACTTTTCAATAATGTGTTATTCGGATTCCATTTCACAAACCATTGCATAACCAGTCATTTTCACGCTCATTCTGTTTGAAGCTATACTCAACTTCATTTCAATTTGTCCTAAGTCTGACATTGTTTTTGAGAGCTGACACATTGCCAGCGTCATTTATCATTTATCATTTATGATGGCCTAGAAATCCTTCTGCAGTGAATTATACCTCCTCCTGCCTCTAGCGATTAAGTGTTTTTCTTTTCCCCCGTTTTTGGCACAATTTATGATTTTCTCTTCCAGAAACCAACACAAATGTTAATCCAGTTGTCACATTATGGTTTCTTTGCAATCCTTCTATCCATTTACGTTGTTCAGTCATGTTGCTATTTACAGTGAGCAGAGGTGCACAGGATTATGCTCTGTATGAATAGCTTGTGACAGATTATGTGATTTAAGACAACATTTGAGGTTCAAGAAACAACCTATGCTGTTCTTTCCCACCACTCAAGGCTATGTGTGCTCTCTAATGGAGTGGGCGGTAGCCAATGACTTCTGGTCATTCAGAGGGAGACTAGCTGTCATTAAGCATTTGTATAAGGTCTGGAAGCTGTCTATTTTGGTTTAAGTGTGGTTTGTTTGCGTTCAGCCATAGATTAGTGCCATATTTTTGAATTTTAAGGCCGATACTCCTTTGGGATGATCGTGATTAAGGACTTTGTTGTAGTACACAAATATGTTGTCCTTTTTAGTGGAAGTGCAGTGTTCATAAAATCAAAGCTCAGTCAGAGTC